GACGTTGTGAGGTCGCCGTGCACGATGTCGGCCAGGTGCAGCTTTCCGATCTCTTTGCCGATTAACCCCATGAGCTGGTCTTTGGTAAATCAGTCAAATAAGCGCGTGCAGGCTGTAAGAATGTGAAGATATGACCTTGTGTGACCTGGAACTGCGCGAGATGGTCAACCTCGGGTTCGTCTGGCGATGCATCCTCCTCCTCATCCTCCTCAATAACGCCTTCATCTTCGCCCCCGAGAATGCGCCGTACAGACAGACCGTCGATCCACTCGGTGCCCAAAAGACCGGCCTCAAGATCGACCAGGCGTACGCCAGGAACGTTGACGCCTGCCCGGAGACAGCGCACAAGCACGCGAGCTTCAGCTTGCAGGCGCGAGCGAGATAGTGTCGCATTGAGCGTCGGATGGCGGTACTGCTTCGGGAAACGATGCTTGATGCAGATGCTGGACGGCGTTGGATGGTGCACTGCGACTTTATACACTTTCTACTGACAAATTGAGTGAGTTATGGCGCTTTGATCAGTCTGACGGGCGACACACGGCCTCGGCGCCTTGGAAAATGAGATCTGCGTGGGTCAGGAGAGTGGTCATTTGGAGTGAGCGGACAACCTTGCGGAGTTGCGCGTAGGGATTTGCCGGTTTCATTTGCGTCTTCTTCTTCGTGTGTGCGCCAGCTTTTGTGGGCAGACCACGCTTGCGATACCGCGCCTCTGCACCACATCCGAGTTTACACTCCATACACAGGTGAAGATCTACACCTGTGTTGTTGGTTTTCTGGCCAAGTGGTCGTGCGAAAAATCTGTGCAAGGTGCATGCAGCACGCGCCACTGGCCGCGTATTTTACGCGTGCCTTCTTCAATACCGTCTCAGTCACGTTTGCGAAACCACCACGTCTGCGCTCGGCGACTGGGTTGCGCTGCCAGCACCGCGCCTTTACGACGCGACTGACCGACGCTGCCAAAAGCGCAAGTGTAAAGAGGAAGATGTGACTGCAGGCGCAAAGGGCTATCTCAGCTCGTCCTCCTATCCCAAATTGCTTTCTTCTGCGAAGTCTGATCTCTGGACGACCATCGTAAACGAGGAAGAAAACTCTGTACAAGTCGCGTCGCCTGCTATGTCCGACACAGCTTCACGAGTTCGCGACGAACCCGATCCGTCGTTCGAGGCGGCCACGCCGACAGTCGAGAGGTCTCGGATCGACTCTCACCGGGAGCTCGCCCGTGCACAGAGCGTGCTTGACCGCATCCGGTGGCGGAAGGAAGGAATCGCCAACCAGCAAAAATTCATAGTCGGGGTCTTTTCTACAGAAAGCGACAAAACAAGGGCAGCTGCTGTAGGTCTACACACTAATTTTTTAGTTCCTGCTGACATCTCTGCAGACTAGAGTGGGCCTGCAGCGGACAATGTCGGAACAATGGGCGGCGCTGCCGCGTACGGATATTTCCAGCGCGGCGAGCCTTGCAGAAAGCTCAGAAACGGTGTCGTCAAGTCATGAGACAGTGTCGACGGGCATGGACTCACCCGTGCACGGATCCCAAGGCGCTGCTTCAGCAATGCCACGCCAACCTAATCACCCGAAACCCGCCTCCAAAAACTCTACACACGGCTCTTCATCAACGAGCTCGCCACGGAAACCGGCCGAGTTCTTACCGATAAAAATTCCCACTGGTAAAGGTGCTCCGGCCGGTCAGCGTCGCATGGCTCACAGACGCGCGCGGATGGACGATGTCGCAAACCCTTCGCTTGAGGAGGGCTTAAATAAGGTTAGAGCCGGCCTAAACCCCTGACGTGCCCATGCTGACATTTTTATAGATATCAAGCGATCTTCAGGCGGATATATCGCAACTGTTGGCGGACCATCGTCAAGCACGCAAATATGAAGAGGCCGTATCATCACGACTTGAGCCTCGTCCGGAAGAGTCTGATCCTACAGACAATGAGGATCTTCTGTTGGCAACCCGCGAGAACATGACCACGCTCGAAAATTCCTCACCGTTACAAGAATTCTCACAATCACCTGGGACATCGGCACGCGAGAGAATTCCACCCATCCAAAGCTTGCCGACAGGCTTCTCTGGCGGCTTTGAACAGGTGGGTTGGAACGTGGTGGATGAGACTGAGAGCCCATGGGCGGCCATTGGAGGGGTTCAGGCATCCGAGCCTACTAAGAAAAGGCGGTTCAAAGCGTGGGCCGATGTATCGCTCGAGGACGAGGCGGCGGCGCCAGAGGACGACGCATCGATGGATGAGATTGAAGTCTTTCAAGTCAAAGACTTTGCGCCTCCTTCAGAATCGCAAGAACTCGACGAAGAGACTCTGGCCAGCATGGTGACGGACCTCATTAGCAAGCGCAAACCTGGAGTAGTACCCTTTGTCTCTCACACACCCACCAAAACCGGAGCCATCACGAAGGACGACACTCACCCTCTGCAAGGTGCGCTTCCGTTGCGCCGTGTCGTGTCAAGTCAGAGCTCACGCGTTTGCCCAGACGTTCATCCCGACTATGTACAAGGCCCAATTGCGCAGCTAGCTCATGGGATCGATCGAGTTCTATTCAAGTGCGCGCAATTCTTGTCTTCTCTGGCCTATATGACTGACCCCCTTTTTCGCCCAAAGCCCTGGCGTTCACTGGATTCGCGACCCACATAGCGGCGTCTTCAACTTTACGCCATACCTACAAACCGTCCCCGACGTACGCGAGTTCGATTTCAACCGCCTGTACCCGTACGTTCGCAGCTCGGAGGATGATGTTCGTGTTCTGTCACACGACTCCAACACGTTGAAACTAACTGCTCCGCTCCTGTCCAGACTATGCGCAAACTTGCCATCCGCGAAGGCAAGCGCTACATTGGCAGCAGCTCCTCCATGACCGGCGCGCTTTCGCACATCTATCGGCTCATCAGCGGCGAAAAGCCTGTGAACCTGTCGTCTCTGACAATGGCCTTTGCAAACGAGGTTAGGACTCATCTTTCAATTTCCTGTATGTTTTATATTTACAGACCGTGTCGTGTTTACAGCCAGACAATTTCTCTGCTGGACAAGTGATCCCAGTAACCGTTCGCATCACGCAAAAGGACGGCATTTACACACTTGATCCTGATAGCTCGGATCCTGAGGATAACGAGAGGCATATTCTGCTCTGGCTTGTACGTCCTGGTTGTCTGATTGATGTAAGATTATTCTGACCTCTCGTGACACCGTCCAGGGTACCATGCTCGAGAAGTTTCTCACTAAGACGCCAGAGCAATTCAGCCAGCTGACACGTAGCGCACCACCTCTTGCGCAACCACCGCGCAAGGAAACCTATCGCTACTCCAAGGTGGGTTATCCTGTCGTTTATCATAGTTACTTTCACTGAGGTAAACGTTATGATGGTAGTCCTCCAAGTTTGTTATGCGCGGGCAGCTCGACTGCGTGGACAGTCGCCTTCCGGGCACCGGTGTATTCGACATCAAAACTCGCGCAAGCGTCTTGGTCCGCTTGGATCGCTTCAACATGGATGTGGGTCACTCAAAAAGCTTTGTGCTTTCGTGCTGAATTGGCGTGCAGTCCTTTGCTGGCTACGAGATCCGCACCCAGCACGGACTATTCGAAAGTTTTGAGCGCGAAGAGTACGACATGATTCGCTCCGCGTTCCTCAAGTACATGTGCGTTTAGCGACGGTGTAAGTGTGACTAGAACAGGGGAGCTTATTGTCGTGTCAAGTTTTCAAGCGCGGATTGGCAAGATGGACGGATGCATCGTCGCGTACCACAATACTCACAAACTGATGGGTTTCCAATACTTCCCCGTCGAAGCTATGGAGGAGCGTGTCTATGGCGCTTCTGGAATTGGCGAGCGAGTGTTCCTGCAATCGCTCATGTTGCTTGAAGCCATCTTAGACGTCGCCGTTTCCATTTTCCCTGATTTGGTGCGTCTGTCCGCCATATACCCAATTCAGATGCTAAGTTGTTTGTTCCTTCGTCTAGCCCATTAGCGTCATGTTCGATAAAGTGGAGAAGACATCCAAGATGAGCGTATTTGTTCGCCCTACCCAGGGCTTTGATCCTCGAAGCGTGCCTCTCGCTCTTCTGGTCGTGGACTGCCAGGCATGGCTTGGTCCGATCGTTACCAATCGTGCCAAAGCAATCGTGCGAAATCGTGATGACTGTACGTAGCACCGTCTTCCTTCAGTCTCTTCACTCACATTTGCTCCGCCTCACACAGTGAAGCTCGAGTACACCATTAAACGATACAACGGGACGCAGAAAGCGATTGCTGATCTGTATTCTGGCGCGCTTGATAGACAGGACCTCGGTTTCCCGCTGGCTCCTGGACAGTCCAAGGATGATATGGTCACCATGTACCGAGATTACAACGCGCTCGGCAAGACTTTAACGCAGGAGCAAAAGGAACGGGTGTCAGACATGACATTCTATCCTGCTTCTAGCAAGGTGAAGGAGATTCGCGCGCTCGCAACCAAGGGCATGCATCGTCTACAGCAGCTCGATGAAACGTCCCTCGAAAAACCTCATGTTGTCTGGCAGCCTCTGATGTACGTTGGCTCCGGCGAAGCAGACGGGGGTGCGGATCAGCAAATCACTTCGCCAACGTAGGTTTCAAGTCAATCAGACGTGCCATACAGTATATCAGTGGCCCGCTAAGGACGTTTAAACCAGGAGGCCGCCTTTCCGCAGCCCCCAAAGCATGTGACCCACGCCTCCAGAATGCATCAACAATCCAGCTGCGTGCTTGCTCGGAATATCCTCCGCAAACGCGTGATGAATCGCATTGCAGTGAACGCAGGTCGGATGAACAACCTGCGCGAAGCCGTCGTAGCTCGTCTTATCTAATGCCTGTAACATAAAACGATCAACCAACACAACTCATACTACCTACAACCCAAGTGTTGCAAGTCGATTGAATGAATTATCCATTGACCGTGCGCGATGTCGGGCTGGCGGGCGGGCGGCAGCATGTACTGTATGCTGACAAAAATGACAAAAATCCGACAAAAGAAATCGACACCAACAGGACTTGAACCTGTGCGGGCAGAGCCCAATTGATTTAGAGATAATTCTAGTCAATCGCCTTAACCACTCGGCCATAGTGCCTTCGATAGTAGTAGTGTGAGTTTTGTCGTCTATGATTTCACCGTTTTCTCATCGTTTAACAGACTTCGATCTCCATTATGGAACACAGAGCTATTGGACACTAGGACAAATGAAACGAGATTTGATTGCAAGGGTAACAGTTCGTGGGGTGAGGCTTGCGACACGATCTCGAAGCGCGTCTACAAGGGGTGGGGATACGTGTGAGGTGACGGTGCACAGTGATGCTACAGCGGGACAAGCAGATCCGAGAAGTACGATTGTAAACATATACTACGCAACGTAGCTGAATGTGTCGCGCGTGCCGTCGACACGTTCGATGTATTCCTTTTCGAGCAACGTATCGATGGCCTTCTTAATGTCGGGAATCTTAGGCGCGAACCGCTGGGAAATCTGCGAGATCACCTCCTGGATCAAAGGCTGATTCTTCATCGTCTTGCGCGCTTTCATGATACTACAAGTATGAATTAGCAAGACATATACCCGATCAGCGCGTAGAACCTACCGAACGATCGTCGCTTGGATTACGAACTTGCGATCCTCGTCGACGTTCTTGAGCACCTCAGTCTGCTCCTTCGTCTCTTGCGCTTTGATTGGCATGTTCAAGTTCACGCGGATCTTCTTGCTCTTGAAGCCTGCAGTGCAAAGTAAGCACTAAGAACCTGTGCAGCATAATCTGACAACACGAACTCGGGTTCAGGTCAAATTGCTCGCTGTCGTCCGACACGAGGATCTTGGCCTTGACGAGTAGCGCGAGAACTTGGCTCAAGATCTCTTTCGAGACCGCAGTTGCCGTTTGGAGCTCGTCGATTGACAGCGTGTCGACGTCGTTGTACTGCGTCAAGACTGCCATCTGGTAGCTACTCGTCATGAGGATGTACTTCTGGTTGAGATAGTTTGTCCGCAGCTCGTTCTGCAGGAAGGATTATTATATGTCCGGTGCACGCCTAAGAACCCACGTACCTTTGAGTAGTTCCATAACCAGGTCAGCTTGCGACCCGAGTGCTTGCTCTGGTAGTACCGTTGGAAGCGTTCGTACGTGGGCAAGATCTGGCAGAGCCGTCAAGAGAGGGCCACAGCAAAAAGTTGCAACTCACCTCGCGTGGAATAGTGAAATCGTGGGTCGGCGGATTGAGCGGCCAAAAGTTCGTGCCAAGAACCATGATCGAGAAGTTGATTTCGAGATCTACGGCCTCATGCGTCTGCTCCATACGTTCCTTAAATTGGTCCGTGAGATCCTTGGAGAGGTTCATATCGGTGAACATGCGTGAGAGCTTGTTGGTGTACTCGAAACCGCAGGCTTCCTTGAGCTTTGAGATCATACTGGCTTCTGCTTCATCGGACGCGCTAACACCGTGAATGAGACGCTTGCTGAGCTTGGTGGTGTAGAAGCTCTGGAAGACGTCCTTGTCTTCAATGTACTTGAACAGAATCATCACCTGGTTAAGCGCATCTTCGAGACCCTCGGCTTCGGACACCTTGTTGTTCTTCCGTAGCAGCGCGTCAGAGTGCTTGGCGAGCAGCTCGGGGCTCTTTGTGCTGCTATTACCGGTGGCAGCATTGCGATTGACGAACTCGCGGCAGGCCTTGTCCAGAGAGGCGACGAAGCCGGCTTCACCGCGGAACGAGCGCTGGACAGTCTCTGAGTTCTTTTTATGAACCTCGAGCAACGCATCGACGTATGCCTTAGGGTCGACGTCGCCTTCGGTGGCCGCGCCAACGAGTTTTTGAACTGCAGACAGGCCGGCGCGCTTGACGTGCTCCTCGAACTTGCGACGCAAAGGCTCGAGGCCGTCCGGAATACGGCTAAGGAGGGCGTACATGCGCTGAAGGTCCTCGTCTTTGTCGTAGTCGAGCAAGTTTTGGAAGTCCTCCCACATGCGCTCTGAATGATCTTTAATGAGAACCTGTTCACACTTCCCGATGAGCTGGCGATGGAAGTCAGTCGCGAATCGATGATATACATGGCATTCGATACGAACCGTCTTGCGTGTGCTGGAGTTGAGGTAACGTTCAACGCGGTCCTCTTCTTCGCGCAGTCGCTCTTCGGCCTTCTTGAGATAATCCGAGACCGAGTTTTGAGAGAGGAACGCTTCCGATTCCGTCTTGTAGTACTTTTCGGTCGCGTTGATGAAAGGCGTCTCGAAGTGCTCCTTGTAGACTTCGAGTGACGCCTTGTTCGAATCCTGTTCGTCCAAGCCAAGCGAGACTAGCAACTCCTGTGAGACCGCAGTACACAGCTGCACATCACATACCAAAAGATTCAATGACCTTTTTGACGAGGCCTTGATCAATCGTGTCACCGTTTCGCTGCATCTCGATAAGGCGAAGGATGGCGCCTGCGAGCTTGGAGTTCTTGCTCTGATGTGGGTGAAGAAATGCTGTTTCCATTGCACGAGCGAAAGCTGCGTGGCACCCGCGTGGTCAAGTCAACAAACACGCGCCGCTGATCGATCTAACGAGACTGACAGTGTAGACAGTGTAGACATTCTTGCGACCTTCGTCCTTTTCGCGCTTGACCCAGTGGCGGTTAAGGTACGTGAAGAGACGGTTAATGTAATTTGCGCCAGTAGTGTACCTATCCCACTCCTGGGCGTAGTAGCGTAGCAATGCCTCGTCGAGCAAGGGATCGGATGTCTGTGTGCCGCAACGTGCCACGCGTGAGGAGGTTATGTCAGTCAGATCGTGCAGGTCAGATCACGAGCGCCGGCGTGCGCACCTCTTTGAGGGTCTTGAGGTGATTGGTGAAGTACTTGATGAGATGGTTATAGAGGTCGGAGCCCATCAGGTTGGCGCCAGCTGTGGTCGAAACGCGATGTGGCGGCACGGTCAGCGCGCCGCGAATCACTCATCACGTAGCGACTTACTTCTCCCGCCAAGACCCTGATGCTCTTGCGAACCGTGCATGCGCGAGGACGTGCAGTAGTTGTACGCAACCGTGTAGAGCGCCATGTACTTGGAATACGACACTCCCTCGCGCAACCGCACCATGATGTGATCCACACCCTCCTCTAAGAAAGTCCAAGTTTCTGCCAGAGATCTGTGAGGGTGGTTAGAAAAGAAGGGGATGGGAGTGAGGGAACCTGCGCAGTGCTCGGCGGCATCGGGTAGGCGGCGGCTTGCGACATGGCGGAAGGAGATCTAGAGTCACGATTGCCGGACTTGGCCGACGCGTGTTCGCCTCACGAAACTGCCTCCTTGACTCCATCTCGTCGCAAGTCGCGCGTTAGATTGCGTCTCCTTGGCGGGGCAAATATTTTAGGTTGCTTGTTCACTCATGCTGCATCCCATCTGCTCGCCCGCGTAGTCAGTCATCTTAGTGTCATCTGGATTTCTGCCTAAGCACACCGCACGGATACTATACTTACCCTGAGCTTAGTAAGTGAACCAAAAAGCAGTGGCCAGCGCAATCTGCAAAATGAAAAAATAAACCAAACCAATGCCAATGCCATCGTCCATAACTCTTTCTTTTGTATCTCGCCTCCACGTGTCCCCTGTATTTACGTGTACTTGTCTCATGTCAGCTGTCATCTGCTACTGCATGACATTGTGCCTGATTGGTCGAGTTATATACCTTTTTTTCTCTAACCACACACCTCACACAGCAGTCAATTTGATTACAAGGTGCTCCTGTGTGATCCAATGAACTCAATATGACCTGCAACCTGCTGCTCTCTCTCATGCCCTCCTCCTGTGCCCTCAAAACAGTGAAAGAGCCTGGTGATCTACCAATCAATCATGCTCTTGCATGCCGCACTCACAGGAAGGACAGAACATTTTCCTGCATGACGTCAGAGTTGTATTGCAGTTTTTCCCTGGATAACACATGTAAAATACGAGACCTTAATGGCTCCAAACAGTCGTAGAGGTTCAGAAATTCCTGGGTTTTGCCAACTTCTACAGGTGTTTCTTCAAAGACTACTCGCGCATCGCCCGTCCAATGCATGATCTCACTCAAAAAGATCACGACTGGGAATGGTCCCCTACGCAGGAGGCCACGTTCAAGGCTCTCCAGCAGGCCATTACCTCAGAACCAGTATTAGTCCTGCCAAGCACAACACATCCCTTCCACGTAGAGTACAACAGTTCAGACTTTGCCATTGGTGTGGTCCTCTCGCAGCTGTCGGATGATGACAAATGGCACCCAGTCACGTACATGTCAAAGTCTCTCACAGCGCCAGAGCACAATTACGAGATCCATGACAAGGAGATGCTCGCTATTGTTCGCTTGCTAGAGGAATGGTGTCACTTCTTGGAAGGCGTGGAGCACAAGTTTGAGGTGTGTTCAGACCATCGCAACCTCCAGTACTTCCGCATAATGCAAAAACTCAATTGTCGTCAAGCGCACTGGTCTTTGTATTTGTCAAGGTTCGACTTTGCCATGGAACACAAGCCAGGGAAGTCGATGGCTAAGGCCAATGCTCTGTCGAGATGACCAGATCATAAAGAGGGGGTGGAGCATGACAATGAAAAATCATTTTGCTCAAGCCTGAATGGATCAAGGTCCTCTGGCATCGTTGTGGCCAAGTTCCGGCCAATCAGGGCAAGCAGACACTCTTGCGCGACATCAAGAACACCATAGATCTGGAAGAGGTTGTCACTCTTGGTCTTGCCACACTAGCAAACCTTGAGTGTCGCAGTCTGTGCAGCGATGATTGGTCTCAGGAACAGGGTCTCACCCTCTACCGCGGCAAGGTTTACATCCCCAAAGACGGAGACCTGTGCCGGCGTGTCGTAGCAGTGCATCACAATAGCCTGATTGCAGGACACCCCAGACATTGGCGGACGTACGAGTTGGTGTCCCGTAATTATTGGTGGCCTAACATGACTCGCTTCATAGCGGCTTATGTCAAGGGTTGTGACGCATGCAACAGAACGAAGATCTTCCCACATGCGCCACTCGGTCCGCTGATGCCTAACACCATACCTACGTGCCGCTGGCAGTAAACGACTTGTGACCCCATTGTGGGATTACCGGAGAGCAAGGGATACGACTCGATCTG